TGCATTTCTTGATTATACTTACAGTTACCTGAATTTTCTGATGGAATGTTACCTATCTTCCAGAATCGTTTACTGCGCATGGCATTGGCCTTATAACTGTTATATTGGTATATGAATTTAATAGAATTGACATGCCGATTGTTGTTCCAGCCCAAACATCTATCAGGATTTGTAAAGGTAGAATGGTCCTAAGAAGCACATAATGTGATCAGAACATTGTAAACGTATCTGTTAAACTAGGGGAAAACAAATTTTCTTACTATCAGTTATCTGCCATAAGCTCATAATTGCAGTGATTTTTCTATTTAAATACTACTCTTGGAACATATTCTTCTGCAGTTGTATGTAAAAACTACAGTGCTGCTACTAAATTGTCTATCAAATATTATCATATATTTAATACTTTGTATTTTGTTTAACTGTATTATATATTTTTATGTTATGTTTGCTGAGAAACATACTTACAAATCAAGTAAGATTCATATATTTCTAACAATTAAGCTACTTGTTAAATATTCTGTGTATTACTTTTTTTGGCCTCGGCTGACAACCACCTACTTTAAAGGTTTGATAAATCTGGGAAAGAAGGTGAGGAACAACAAATTGAAAAGGAAAGAAGGGCCCTTCTTTCGAAGCTTCATGCCATTTTGCGCCCATTCCTTCTAAGGGACATGAAGGGGGCTGTCCAAAACAGGGTTCCACAAAACAAAGGTGCCACATGCTACAAGACTAAAGTTGTTCAGAACTCGGATGCAATTAGCATCACATGCTCCGGTGACAACGCGACAAAAGAAGGCGCAAAGACTGATGGTGAGAGTTGTCAAGAGGTATCAGCAGAGGTTGTTGGTGAAACTGATGGTGAAGGTAGTCCTAACACGCAAATCGGTCAATTGGGCCTGGAAGTGGAAGTTAATAAGGTCATTAAGAGGCCGAGAACAAACGATGCACCTATCTCACCAGTAGGCGAAAGCAATCCAGCTGTGCATGTGTAAGTGCCAAATTCAAGTTCCCCTGAAATAATCTTCGAGGCACTCAAAAACATACCTGACTTAGCCCGTAGCGATATTCTGAGAGCCTACAGTGCTCTTACCCGTGATGATCGCCGATTTGAGTCTCTCATGGCACTCCCGATGGACATGAGAAAGGATTGGCTGCTCATGGAGATTGGAAACAACTAGTGCTTGCTCTGTCGCTCCAGCAGTATGAATGCGCCTGCATGTTTAGATGTTATCTGATGGAATTCATGCTCCTGATGCTCCCTCCCTGATTAGTTAAGTCTCACTTAGTGTTGGAACCATGTGATGCCTGCCATGGCCCAGGAGCAATGCTGTATATATGCAGTTATTCATATGATATCCTTAACTAGTACTAGTATGAAGTCTCCTTTCTCAACTGCAGTGCCATTTACTTGTGACTCCTGAGAACATGCATTTGATACTGAGTGTTAAATTGTCGCAAAGAATTAAATCAGATGCATTTACTTGTTTCTGCTAGTATAGGTGAACCATGCAGGTTATTTCCTGCTCCTACTTTGTTGAACTTTAGTTTTGGCGCTTCTCCAAGACTCTGACTCTCGGGCTTAACACTGACGAAACTCTCGAATCTACAGTGTTTCCTTAGCTAGGAGCACAATCTGAAACACTAGAATGATGGCCTACAGTGGACTCGTGAATTTAATTACTCGAGGTTTACCGACGAATATCCGCGGGCGTAGCTAGTCGATAGGTGGCAAAGTCAGTCTGGTGATCCATATGCATCATCTGCACATAGGATCCGGGGATCTGAATGTCCCGCTCCACTTGGCAAAGAAAATAATCGTCTTCCCTTCTTAGATTAGACGAGGAAACGTGCTTAGTATTTCCATGAAAGTCGTTCGATGATGTCAACAACTGTCGAAAGGGAAATGGACATGGACAGGCAGCCGTCACCTTTGGCCTTTAATTGGGTCATATGACATCGTGGGCCTATGGTGCGCCGTTAGTAAAGCTTGTTTGGTCTATGGGCTTCCATCTCAACGCAGCAATTTTATTGCAACCCATAAGCTTGAAAAAGCAATGGCCAAGAAGTCGTTAATGTAGACCACAAGATGTCGGCAGTCACGATCGAGAAAGATCGCTATCCTAAAGAGTTGGTAACGAGGATGGCCAGAAGATAAACCTAACTATGGCCAAACAGAAGCGGGGGCACAAACCTCGCAAGTTTCCCAATGAAGCCCCATCTGGTCGAGCTTCATCGGATGAAGAAGAAATCAAAGAAGAAAAACAGGCCGCAACATCATTCCCTCCATAGGGCGATAGCAATCACCTTAGACAAAAATGAGGCCCAAGATTTTATCCTAATTGAACCTCCACACACCTTGTGCCAATGTCAAAAAGGATCCAGGAACGAGGACATGACCCTTGTTGTTGATGGCGTCATCGTCTCACCACAGCTAGAGTAATTGACAAAAAACTACCACATTTCACGTTGCTATCTCACAGAACTACCACATTTTGAAAACTGACCAAAAACTTTAAATTAGTGCTAATTTCGTGAAAAAAAACTACCAGGCCGAGTTAAAGACAGATTTAACCGGTTTAAACGCGATTCTAACAGATTTGGCCCACCGGTCAGGACGGCAACCACGCTAACGGCTAACAGCGCTCGCCTGCCGCCCGTTAGCGACCGCGGGGCGGTGTCCAGGAGCAGCGCGCGGAGGTCGTCGGTGCCGGTGTGGGAGAGGTTGATGTCGTAGACGTCGTACCCGAGGAACCTCGCCATCGCAGCGACGAACGTGGACTTGCCCGTGCCGGGCGGACCGTAGAGCAGGTAGCTCCGGCGCTAGACACGGCCCAGGCGGTGGTAGTAGGAGCGACCCTTGAGGAAGCTCTCCAGGTCGGCGGGTCTTGAGCTCCGGGTCCATGGCGACCGTGTCAAGCGTGGCCGGGTGGGTGAAGGGGGCCGATGCCAGCGCGGCGCGAGGGCGCTGGTGTTGGCGTAGAGCCGCAGCTCGCGGCGGCGCAACTCCATCTCGTCGGCGATGGACTTGATGTGCTGCAGGTAGGGGCGCAACACGCGTGTGCGCTCATGGCGGCGCACACGGAGGGCCAGGCGCTCCCCGCCGTTGGTCCACGCGAGGCGCGCGCCGAGGAAGGCGTCGTGCGTGGTGTGGCCCGGGCCGAGCTGGAGAGAGAAGTCGTTGCTCTTGCTGGCGGAGGAGAGCACGCAGGCGGCGTCCGCGTCCTCGAGCGACGGCAGCGACGCCACGTAGGCCGCTGCCTTGCGGAAGAGCGGGTTCGCGGCCCCGTCGCCGCCGCCGGCGACGAAGCGCGGCACCTCGTAGTACTGGTACGCCTGCGCCCACTCGTCCGCCCACCTCCACAGCCGGCGGGCCGCGTGCGCCGCCGACTTGTACGACCGGGTCCGACCGACGGCTAACGGGCGGCAGGCGAGCGCCGTTAGCCGTTAGCGCGGCCGCCGTCCTGACCAGTGGGCCAGCTCTGTCAGAAAGGCGTTTAAACCGGTTAAATCTGTCTTCGACTCGATTCGGTAGTTTTTTGTCACGAAATCAGTACTAATCTGCAGTTTTTGGTCAGTTTCAAAATGTGGTAGTTTTATGGGACGGTAACGTGAAATGTGGTAGTTTTTTATCAATTACTCCCACAGCTAGCTAGACACTTAGAGTCAACCCTGCTTAAAGTTAGGGTGAAAAGAGACTCCAGAGACAACCTAGGCGGGGTTCCAAAACCTCGCCGGCTTCAGAAATATTGTAGTACTTACAATGAAAAGTTCATGGAAAACACGTTTAAAAGCTTTAAAATTTTCTCACAAAAATATGTTTTGTTATAAAACATGATGTCATATAAGCAGATGAAATTTGATATTAGCATGATTTTCGTAATAGCTTGAGATTGACGAAACCACCATAGACATCTTCATAGTCGATGAGAACGTCTTCTCCCAATGAATGAGCATCACTGAAAGCGTTGAAATAAATTTAAAGAATTGCGAGCACCGGTGCAAAAGACTTGAACCCTGGTGGGCTCGTTCCACCACAAGAAACCTAACCACCTCAACTAAGCTCAGTTCTTTCACTTGATTTTCATTGGTCACCATGGTAACATGATTTTCACCGTATATTTTCTCATATTTTACACTTGATAGTTTTTCTCACATTCTTTCTCCAACGAGCGTGCATGTGAAGTCACAATACTCACGTCATGGGTCGGTTGATCGTTTCTTCCACCCCGTGTGGATCAGAGAGGTGAATGAACTCCACCTGCAAGTTTTCAGAAATGAGGGTGGAGTATGCAGGTTATTTCCTACTTTGTTGATGTTTCATTTGGCGCTTCTCCAGGACGTGGACTCTAGGACTTGACCGGCCGAAACTCGCGAACCCCTGTGTTTTCCTTAGCTAGGAGCACAACCTGAGACCCTAACAATGGACTCTCGTGGTTGTGGAATCGACAGCTTAATAATTAACTAAATAGCTACTCCAAAGTTCACGTCGTCTATCCGTGGGCGTTGCTAGTCGCCGGGCGATGGCGTATGCCGGATGTAAACGTGTGCAAGGAAATGGCGTTAACTTTTGTTTGTTTTCACTGACGATCCAACGTGTTCATTTTTGTTTCTCTCCCTGAACAAAGAAAGAACATTCTGTTCTTTGATTATTAGACAGGGAAAACGTGCTTATTAAAGGTGTTCGACAATGTTAAAAATGTGATACGTAACAACTTTAGACGAGAAAAGGCTACCGGAGACCCACCCGCCCCATGTAACCAATCAAGCCTCGCCACGTACGCGCCCGCCCACCATTTCCCGGCCTCCACCAACCTTCGGCGAACTAGCCCATCGTCCCCGCAGGTCAAAGTCTCTCTCGCGCGCGCGCGAGCGGCCGCCACCAATCCAAACGACAGAGCAGAACAAATGTATCCAGCCGATCGAGCGTGTACCTACTGCTACCTGCGTGCCGTGCCAGCGTGCTGCTAGACTGCTAGCTTCCTCGACCAATCGGTATCGCCATGCCGCTCCTCATCCTCCTCTGTGTCCTGCTACTGGCCGCCGGGCTCGAGCTCGCCCGCGGCTACCCGACGGCCGGCGCCGGCGACGCCCGCGCGTACAACTCGAGCATGTGCCAGGGGTCCTTCGCGTGCGGGGGGCTTAACATCCACTACCCGTTTTACCTCTCCAACGAGTCCATGGTCGTCGACGGCGTGTCCCAGTCCTACTGTGGCTACCCCGGCATGGCCGTGCGCTGCGACGACAGCCGCGCCAACGCCACCGCCACGCTCCGGCTCGCCGGGGGCACCAACTACACCGTCCTCGGCATCGACTACGACAACCACACCATCACGCTCGCCGACGCCGACGTCTCCAACGGCGTCTGCCCCATGGTCCGCCACAACGTCAACATCCCTCGCGAGGCGTGGCTCAACTTCACGCCCACCGGCAACAGCACCATCTCCTTCTTCCTCGACTGCAGCTTCACCACATACGTCACCGTCGCCCCTCTACCGCCGCCTGAGCTCGTCCCGATCAACTGCACCGGCGGCTTCGGGCGCGGGAGGTCGTTCCTCGCCACGCAGCTCGGCGCGCCGGACGGGAACTGGGCACGGGCGTGCAAAGAGGTGTACGTGGCGCCCGTGCAGACCGGCGAGTGGCTGACGAGCCCGGAGTCCCGCGGGCGGCTCGGGAGCGGCGGGTACCGCGAGGTGCTGCGACGCGGGTTCCGGCTCAGCTGGGACCCGAGCGCCGGGCCGTGCTTCAAGTGCGAGCTGTCCGGGGGCCGGTGCAGCTACGACCAGCCCGGCGGGTTCCTCGGCTGCCTCTGCTCCGACGGCCGCGTGCGCAGCATGGACTGCGGTAAGATTCAGAACTCTCTGTGTTTTTGTCCTGCACTAGTCGTGGTTACTTTCAGCAGCAGAACAATTTGCTTGCATTTCGGTACTATCTGGTGGAATGGAACACAACCCCTCCGGCGGCGGAGCTGACCGCCGGTCATCGTTGGCGGGCGGTGGCCGTCACCAGTTTCTTTCCCTTCTAGACCCAGTCTTGACGCGTGCCACGGGACCAAAACTGGATTCCGTCGGGTGACGCCGGGCGAACAAGTCCGCTGCCTCCACGAGATGCGCCCGAAACGTTTGACTTGAACCTCGGCTCCACCATGGATTTCCTCTGGTCGAGCCGTCAAGGCGGGAGGAAGACGATAAAATAACTCGTCCAGGTGACTCCCGACACCGCCACGTCCTTGTTTCCAGAACACCAGTCACTATGCCCGGCCATCCTCCCTTGACCTGTCACCATGCACCATGACCGTTGCAGAGGAATGCATGCCCTGTCTTAAGCACCAAAACACTACAAACTCTGCTGGCACATACATTCCGTTTATGCACACACATTGCTCGTCCTCTCCACGTTGCGATGTTGCGTCTAGCGCGGGAAGCACTCGACCAAATGCGTAGCCTGCATTCCGTGCCGCTCCTCGTCGCCATGCTGGTCCTCTTGTCGGCGCCGCGAGCCGTGCCGCAGCCACCGCCCGACCCCGGTGCCTACTTCCGGTACACCAACTGCACCCCAACGCCCTACCAGTGCGGGACACTCAAGTTCGACGTGGACTACCCCTTGGCAGTCGATGGTGTGGCCCGGCCGGACTACTGCTCCTCCCCGGGCCATCGCCTCTTGTGCGTGAACACCTCGTTGACGATCTACATGAACTCCGGCGGGTCATTCCAGGTCACGGGCATCGATTACGGCAACCAGGTGCTCACCGTGATCGACCAGACCATAGCCCACGAGTCAGCCTGCCCGCATGTGTACCGCAGCACCACCATCGACGCCGCCGCGTTCGAGTACACGGACCGGGATCGGTTCCTGACAGCCTACGTGAACTGCAGCAGCGCCAGATCGTCGCTGCCACTGGTGTACGACGCCTTCGCCTGCGTCGCCGGGGGGCGGTCGTACTACAGGCTAGACAACAGCACGTCCGCGCCGGAGGACGTGCTGGGCCTGGGGGTGGTGTGCACCTCGACTTTGGTCGTCCCGTGCGACTCGGCCATTGCGGATGCGCTGACCGCCGGGAACGCCACCCTCGGGGACGCTGTCAGGGCCGGATTCTCGGTGAGGTGGAAGGCTGGCGCTGGGTGGTGCGGCGATTGCCAGGCCTCCGGAGGGCGCTGCGGGCATGATAGCAGAGCGCCGGACGATCACACGTGCTTCTGCCCCGGCGGTCAGGCTATCGGGTCGTGTCCTTCGTCAGGTTCAGGTACCCCGTGTCCACTGGTTGGTCAACGATGTTCGATTCATCCAAAATGTTCCGGTCAGCCAAACTCAGGGACATGGTTTTGGATCACATGTGGTATTGGTTTACGATTACTTGCGCAAATCTAAGCAACCTTGAGATGTCCTAATTCCTGACTAATCTATTAACTGGTCACTGGTCAGCTGCCCATAATGGGAATATCATATACTACTAGTATCATGTATATGATACTATACTAGTATATAATACTACTTCCTTAATGCATAATATTATAAGTTAGTATCTTAAATTACCTTATTAATTGACATGCATAACACAAAATAGTACAACATTTAATATGATACCACATCCTCTCTTTAAATATTAATAATTGTGTGCTATATCATAAAAAAGTTTAAATGTCATGCATAATACTGCTTATGATACTACCATTACGACCAATCTGAAAGACTTCTCTTCTTCGACGCTGACACTTCATCGATAAGTATGTATGAATCTTTGACTATAGTAAATCAGGACGAAGTAGGTAGGATGATGACATAGGCACAAACGAGGTAGTACTATGAACTAGATCATGTCCTGAAATCCTCCACATTTAGCATGTTCTCTACTCCATATGTTTGGTCAAAAAATAGTTTTCGTTTAAATCTAAGCCGTGTCTGACTAGAGTTAGAACTTAGAACTTGTCTACTCCTTCTTCCTTGATACATTTCCTCTTGTCATTGAAAGAACTTTAACATTGATTCTTGATTTTGCAGGACCAAAGAAAACGAGCAAAAATGCAATAATAGCAGTAGGTAAGTACCAAAATCCATCGTCCACACCGACCAATTCAAGCATTTTTCCCAGTCTGTCACAAATTCAAGCATCAATGTGCATGTTCTAATCGGCATTTGCAATTGCAACCCCAGGATGCTACGCAGCAGCTCTGGTTCTATTCGTGCTTCTCCTCGTGGTGTCCTTCCTGTACGTCCGCAAGAGGAGGCAGCACAAGATGACCTCCTCGTCCAGGCTCCTCAAGTACAGCAACTCCGGCGGGACGCCCCGCTCCAGAGGCGGCAGCGACCTGGATTCCGGCGGCGTCCACAATCTGCAGACCCACCACTTCGCCTACGAGGAGCTGGAGGAGGCCACCGGCGGCTTCAGCGACACCCGCGAGCTCGGCGACGGCGGCTTCGGCACCGTGTACAAAGGCCAACTCCGGGACGGCCGCATGGTGGCGGTGAAGCGGCTGTACAACAACGGCTCCCGGCACGTGGAGCAGTTCCTGAACGAGGCGGCCATCCTGTCGCGGCTGCGCCACCCGAACCTCGTCACCTTCTACGGCTGCACGTCCAGCCGCAGCCGGGAGCTGCTGCTGGTGTACGAGTACGTGCCCAACGGCACCGTGGCCGACCACCTGCAGGGCCACCGCGCCGCGGAGCGGGCGCTGCCGTGGCCGCTCCGCCTCAACGTCGCCGTCGAGGCCGCCGCCGCGCTAGCCTACCTCCACGCCATCGACCCGCCCGTGGTGCACCGCGACGTCAAGACCACCAACATCCTCCTCGACGCCGACTTCCACGTCAAGGTCGCCGACTTCGGCCTCTCCCGGCTCTTCCCGCTCGACGGCGCCACGCACGTGTCCACCGCGCCGCAGGGCACCCCGGGCTACGTCGACCCGGAGTACCACCAGTGCTACCAGCTCACCGACCGCAGCGACGTCTACAGCTTCGGCGTGGTGCTCGCCGAGCTCATCTCGTCCAAGCCCGCCGTCGACGTCACCCGGGACCGCGACGAGATCAACCTGGCCTCCATGGCCGTGGGCAGGATCCAGCGGTCGGAGCTGGACCAGCTGGTGGACGCCGAGCTTGGGTATGGCTCCGACGAGGCCACGACGAGGGCGATCACGATGGTGGCGGAGCTGGCGTTCCGGTGCCTCCAGCAGAACAGCGAGATGCGGCCGCCGATCAGGGAGGTGCTCGACGGTCTCAGAGGCATACAAGAGGGCGGCGCCAAGGCGAAGAAATACGACGTCGTCGTCGTCCCCCGCTCCCCGAACACCGTGCACGCTCCTTGGGACAGCATGAGCACCACCCCGAGCATTAGCCTGTAGCGCGTATGGCCGGATCTTCAAAATGTCACCTCCCCTCCTCAGCAAAGATGAATGTAAATAGAAATGTCGGTTGTGTTATAGGAGCGAAAACTTGTAGCTCGTCCTAGTGTGTTGTTTCAGTTTGCATTTGTCCCCTATAAAAGCACAAGGCAGATCAAAATCATCACCTGAACCGTCTGATTACAAAATCTAAAGGTTCAAAACCGTTCAATGTTAAACACCAACGACGTTGAGTTCGCTAAGCACTCGGGTCCAACACTAACTAGTAGAATGCCCGTGCGTTGCCACGGGCTTTCGAACTCGTTTTCTGGTTGCATCGCCTTCCAACGATATCATCTTGGGACCCTTGTCGATGGATCTTTTTGAGCGTCTCTCTCATAATTAAACTATATATTCAGAGTTTTTTGTTCGAACTACAAAGCAAAATAAGATAAACCAAAATACAAGTAAACCAAGCCAGTGCACAGGGGCCCGCTTTCGTAGTTTTGACAGCGCCTGGCCGCAGAACAGTAGTGAGCCGGCAACATTGGGCATGTTTCACGGGAACAATTTGTACCAGAACACCTTCTGGCTCAGCTGATTGAATGCCTTTGAGAGGCACAACGCCACAGCTCGCGACACTAGCTAGAACACCAACTGTAGCGACACGATGTTGCATGACATGGAGGGGATGCGCAGCGCCCGACACTGAGCTTGACCACGGCAGATAGAACCATGACGCTGCCCATACGCTTGAGTGAGGGTCAGGCATCTAATAATTAAAGTGGTTCTTCAAAGGATTTAACCCAAACAGAGTTTTGTAAATGTGGTTTCTTGATCCAAACTAAGTATTGCATGAATGTATGTTAACAAAAAAACTAAATAAAACTAGTTTCCTCAAATTTCTCCCAAAAATTCTAAATCTATGAAAAGTTGCTAGGTACCGCATCATAATTAATCTAACTACATAAAGGCAAAATGAAAAAAATGCTAGTGTGTCGTAGTACTTACAACATTATCTCACAACTGAAGTAGGAGAGAAACAGATAAGTTGCCATAGGTCAATGGTAAAGGCACTTTGGTATAGCAAAGTTGTAATAACTTCATAAGTGTAACATGATAAGAAGTTCAAATTCTAATCTTTGAGAGGAAGAACTACAACTTGAAGTCAAATCTTCAACTGATGACTAACTGTTCTTGAATGAGCTGAATTAATTAATATGAAAAAAAATCCCCAGGAGCATTATATTATGAAAAGTGTAGGCCCAGAGGTCAATACCTCGGTGCACATGTAGCTTTGATGGTTCACTATGTAAAATTGCCTTGACCAAGATGTGGACAATCTGTACGCCTCTAGGTTCATGACAACCATGAGCTTTACGACATCCTGAAACATGACATGATGTTATGTTAAAAAACAAAATGTAAGAAAAACCAGTCTATAAATCACAACACTTTGATTCATCTTGAGACATCAACTGCTTCAAATCAGACAGAACTTCAACGAACATAGATGGATTGTCTTAAAGATGCACGGCCTGCATATGATATTGCATTGATGCAAAATAATATGTTGAGTGCTTTAATTCACGCATAGGTAGATATTAAACTACTCCCTTTGGACTCCATGAAACCGATAAACTTGATGATGGCAGCACCCATCAATAAACATATGGGTAGAGGGGGGAGCAGTAAGGCATATTTGTAGTCCAGACATTACCAAAGTTTGACAAATTATAATAGATTCCTAATTATTCCTAGATATGTCTACATGTTATTTTAACAAAACAAAACATCTGATACCACAGGAGAAGACCACAACTCAGGTAGCGACTCAAACTGGATTTGAGATACATATGTTACTTCAAATTGTAGCTTAGCATGTCCTTCAAATGTTCAAATTAGAGAGATCTTGTAGGATAGGATAGGATAGGCTAGCATGGATGTAAATCAATAAACTTCCAGATTAGCTCATGCTAGCAAGACACCTAATCGGCTAATCCACCAACTTGCACAGCCGGAGTAGTCACAACAATTGCTTATAGCACAGAAAAATATCATTGTGATTCTTTTTGCGTAACTATTTGTAGTACATCCATAACAGGCTACCAACATCTCCAAATAAGTGGACACCCTGGTTGATGATTTCTTAGGAAGTCAAAACTGCACAATAAACCACACTAAGCATATATGTCAGACGTATATGAACAGAGCTATTTTTATAGATTTGTAACATTCAACCATACTAACTGAAGAAGCTCATTAAACAAAACGAAAAGAGCCATGAAAAAATCAAGTAGAAAACCTGGTCTATAATATATAGCTAACAGAGTACATCCTTTCACGTGACTATAGCAGGCGAACCTGAAATAATAAGATTAATGTGCAAAGTAAACATCACTGGTAATGAAATTGCCTGACTGTCACACAGAGTTAAGATACTGCCATTTAGTAATTACCTCGCTGTCATGTGCTTGTGAGACACCACCATTTAATTTTTTTTTTGTATATTCAGGGTTGATTGAGAAGCACAAGTGAAAATAAAAAATATATGAGGCTTCAAGAAGAAGTTCCCATTTCCTTGAATGAAGAACCAATAAAATACGAGCCTAGCTGATCACTAGATGGCTATATCAAATGGAACATCACATTTACTTCCCATATTGTATTCTAATTACATATGAGCAGATTCCATAAAATGACAAGAAATCCCACAACTTAGCAAGAAAATATAGAAAGCAAGCAGGAAGGAGAAATAACCCACGTGCAAGAATACAATTAGCAGGTCGGCCAGATGTGTAGTATGAAAAATAGAGCAGCACTGAACAAAAAAAAAATCAGAAACAAAGACACTCAATTGTTTCAGGGCGATCATTTTTGTCCATTGCTTTCCGGCCGCCCCTGGCTAGCCCCAGCAACGCGCTGTCTGCATCTTGACCTAGCGTTCGAATCCGTCGTCTCAACGCATGTGCCATCAATCCGTGGGAAGACCACCAGCGTTACCGGATCTGGGTGGTCCAAGTTGTCCGCGAATTTTTCTCATAGGGGAAATCTGCCAGCCCTGGTGTTCAAAATGGCCAGCCGCTGACGAATGTCCCCCGGCACTACCAAAAAATTGATAGATCTCCCACCAAGGGTAAGATATCCTTATGTGTCGATCGCGTCCAACAAGAACTCCGGGCCAACGTTATCCATCGCCGGCTGGCTGCAGCCGCCGTGGCTTTTGCATGGTAGTGTGTGATACGTCTTCAACGTATCTATAATTTTTGATTGCTCCATGCTATATTATCCACTGTTTTGGACATTATTGGACTTTATTATCTATTTTTATATTATTTTTGGGACTAACCTATTAACCGGAGGCCCAACCTAGAATTGCTGTTTTTTTGCCTATTTTAGGGCTTCGAAGAAAAGGAATATCAAACGAAGTCCAAACGGAATGAAACCTTCGGGGGCGTGATTTTCTCAACGAACAAGACCCGGGAGACTTGGACCCTACGTCAAGAAACAAGAGAGGAGGCCACGAGGTAGGGGGGCGCGCCTACCCCCCCAGGCGCGCCCTCCACCCTCGTGCGCCCCCTGTTGCTCCACCGACACACTCCTTCCTCCCATACCACCCTCGTGCGCCCCCTGTTGCTCCACCGACACACTCCTTCCTCCTATATATACCTACGTACCCCCAAACGATCAGATACAGAGCCAAAACCCTAATTCCACCACCAAAACTTTCTGTATCCATGAGATCCCATCTTGGGGCCTGTTCCGGAGCTCCGTCGGAGGGGGCATCGATCACGGAGGGCTTCTACATCATCACCATAGCCCCTCCGATGAAGTGTGAGTAGTTCACCTCAGACCTACGGGTCCATAGTTATTAGCTAGATGGCTTCTTCTCTCTTTTTGGATCTCAATACAATGTTCTTCCCCTCTCTCGTGGAGATCTATTCGATGTAATCTTCTTTTTGCGGTGTGTTTGTTGAGACCGTTGAATTGTGGGTTTATGATCAAGTCTATCTATGAATAATATTTGAATCTTCTCTGAATTCTTTTATGTATGATTGGTTATGTTTGCAAGTCTCTTCGAATTATCAGTTTGGTTTGGCCTACTAGATTGATCTTTCTTGCAATGAGAGAAGTGCTTAGCTTTGGGTTCAATCTTGCGGTGTCCTTTCCCAGTAGGGGCAGCTAGGCACGTATTGTATTGTTGCCATCGAGGATAACAAGATGGGGTTTTCATCATATTGCATGAGTTTATCCCTCTACATCATGTCATCTTGCTTAAGGCGTTATTCTGTTTTCATTAACTTAATACTCTAGATGCATGCTGGATAGCGGTCGATGAGTGGAGTAATAGTAGTAGATGCAGACAGGAGTCGGTCTACTTGTCTCAGACGTGATGCCTATATACATGATCATACCAAGATATTCTCATAACTATGCTCAATTCTGTCAATTGCTCAACAGTAATTCGTTCACCCACCGTAGAATACTTATGCTCTTGAGAGAAGCCACTAGTGAAACCTATGGCCCCCGGGTCTATCTTCATCATATTAATCTTACATTACTTAGTTATTTCCTTTGCTTTTATTTTACTTTGCATCTTTATCATAAAAATACCAAAAATATTATCTTATCATATCTATCAGATCTCACTCCCATAAGTGGATGTGTAGGGATTGACAACCCCTTATCGCGTTGGTTGCGAGGATTTATTTGTTTTGTGCAGGTACGAGGGACTCGCGCGTAGCCTCCTACTGGATTGATGAAGGAAATATGCCCTAGAGGCAATAATAAAGTTATTATTTATATCCTTATTTCATGATAAATGTTTATTATTCATGCTAGAATTGTATTAACCGGAAACATAATACATGTGTGAATACATAGACAAACAGAGTGTCACTAGTATGCCTCTACTTGACTAGCTCGTTAATCAAAGATGGTTATGTTTCCTAACCATAGACAAAGAGTTGTTATTTGATTAACGAGGTCACATCATTAGTTGAATGATCTGATTGACATGA